CTATTAATTTATTAAATTTTAATGATTTCTAAGGAAAATAGCTTATATTCCCCAATTTAAAAGCATGTTAATAGGTTCTCTATTTTTTAATGGCATGTTCCTTTAGCTTTTAGTCAATCATAACTCTCCACAGATTCCATTTCTTTATTATCTGGGAACTGCCATGACTTCTTGGGGAAGATAGTGAACTGGTTTTCCATTGCCTTCTCTATGATTCTGAATTCAGTGTTTTCCTTCTCTTAGACTGGTTACCACCCAAGTTTAGAAAGCCCAGTCTCCTTTACTATTTAACCCATATCTGGTGGGGAAAAGAGATAGATCCATGGTTTTCTTAAGGGCATTTGTGTGAAAGTGTATGAAACAGACTAGCCTGGAATTAGAACTTAGCTTGTTGTTGTATAATGTGAGATCTCATACAGATGAGACTACAAAACAAGATCTAAACGTAACATGGAGACAGCTAAGAGAGTTGGCACAAATGAGGAATTTGCAATAAAGAAGTATTAAACATAACAAGCTTTATCTTGTTCTTGATGATACAAAACTTACTGATTCCACTTTCTCCACCAATAGCCATTACCTGCATATCCCCTGTGTTCCCTTTAAACTTTGTATAATTTTATGAAAACAAATGTGAATAAACGCACATTATTCATAAAAATTATAAGATATTGTGGAATCTTCCACAACAAGCCAGTTAACCCCTGCTAGGAAATGCACTATTCCTGTTGTAATTTTCACCATCACAATCTTACAAAATATATAACAAGCATTCATTGGTTAATCACCTTCAATCTAGCTTGCTGATTGGTCAGTTCCAACCAATCAAACCGCCTGCATGCGACAAATCTGTTTTCCCGCTCAATATGCTCGGAGACTCCCACGTGATACACTATCTTATAAAAACAGAACACGTGTAAGCTCCCTGTTGTTTTCTTCTCATTCATTTCTCTCGCGTCTCATTCCTTGCTGCCAAGATGTAATCTTCAAGAACTCCTGTCTTAACTAATGCAGTCAGATGTTAAAGACCATTGCCAACATTCACGCAAGTACGAACTCTGAAATCTCTTCTGAACTTTTATCAACTTGTACAATACACAATTCCAAACATGCTAAAGAAACTTTATTCTTCCTAGACTACAGTTTAATAATTATCACTTTATGAACTTAGGTACAAATATTACCTAGTCTAAGAGACACAACTCTGTCTAACCTTTTCACTCAGTATTCATGAATGTGTGGACTCTTCTAGTATTCTAACCTTCTCTAACCTTAAAAAGGCACAGTCCACATCGTACGCCTACGTACAGAAAAACCTCAACCAATAGAAATGGCAAGAATCGAACCAAGCAATTCCATTGGTCAATCGTCTTCTGAAACAAGAATTGCGCCAAAACGACTTGAGCCACTTTTGAAAACCCAAGTGTTATATAAAGGAAAGGCAGACAGCCCTTTCAGTGGAAGCGGAGCAGCAGAGTAGCTGTAATTACCAACCTTCAAGATGTAACATTTCACCGACTCCCGTCTTAGTCATCGCTGACCAGACGATAAAAGAAAATTACCAGCCCCATTCAGTCAGTCTAGCAAATTCACCGAGCAATTGCCTAAATACTCCACGACGTTTGGAAAAACAATCTTGCCGCGCTTTTCAAAGAACACTCACTGACTCACTTTGAACATTCAACGAACGACTCTCGAAACTTTCCACTAAATTTCTTATACATATTGATTTATAATCATTACAAAAATAAGAAATACGATACAAAACACAAACACGTTCAAAGGTAGACTACTTCGACAAACTTTTTGCAAAAAAACTCTTAAATCTTATTACTCCAATATTTGATACAAACAAGAAAATAGCAAACATAACGACACAGAGACATCAAACATTCCAGCAACACATACAATTTACGCACGCATTAATACACATATTGTTCCAGTTTGTAAATGTTTAATTGTATATAAATGCTTTATTGTTTTGATCTATATATGTCTCGTTTTTTCCTTGTTTGAAATCTCACGCTTGTTTGTATATTTGTTTGGGACACGGTTAGACACGCAACCGATAATAACAAAAATCCTTCTGATAAATCAAATGACCCAAAAGTCCCAACAAATGTATATCAAATATTAATAAATTCAATTGTTACGTTTTGAAACAATACATTATGTTTTTCAATAATTATTCTATGTCTTGTATTAATTGTTGTGGATGGAAGATTATTGAACACACACAATTTTAAGCCTTCTAATAATTCAAACCTTCTATTTCTCTCCAACACACAATATCATCACACATCCGCAACAATATCAAAATTTGGCAAACAAAAAAGTATGTAAGTTAAACTAAAAGTAAATGTTAATTTTTAACTATTTTTTCTGTTCTTGTTACAATAAAATATTACCTCTAATGTAATCAAACAGGAAGGTATGGTTGAACAATTAATGTATCCTACAAATGGTTAAAAGAGAAAAGTGAAAAAAACTATTATTAAAAAAATATTTGTAGGTATTTATCCTTGTTTCCTCACTGAGATGGCATGTGAAACAAGGTTGGGTTTAATGTGGGGAAGCCAAGTGCATACACCCGGGCCAAGGACAAAAATTGCCCAGCCCCACAACTACTGACATCACTATGACTATTATTCCCACCTCTTTAGTAAAGCTTCAGGCAGCTGTTCCCCAAGACTGGGCATCTTACAGTATTTATTTTCCTCAGCTGCATCTCTATCCATGGACAGGGCCACAACTGAGTTAAACTCTGCCCAAAGACAGTGACGCAATTGAGAGATGATAAACCCCACCCACCAAGTGCACAGACAGTAAAAGAGAAAGTGTTTAACTGGAATTCTATGAGCCACCTATGATAATCTTAGTCAGTGGTGGACAGGGTCTAAAAATATTGGTTAGCAGGAAACAAAGATGGTCACATCCACAACTACTACAATGCTATTATTTAATTTTCATAACAAATAAATAAATTTTTTTAAAAAATACATATCAAAAAAGGGTAGAATTAAATTTTTGGTGGGAAAAATGTATATTTCTTAGTAATTCCAGTGTACATGTACCGTGCATATTACTAGCAGTAGATATCAAATGTAAATACAGAATGTTATAATTAAATTATTTATTTATTTTTTAAATTTAATTAATTGGTTGATATTCTAAAATAGTTTACTGCATAATTTACGCATTAACAGGTAGTTAAAATGCACAATAGAGCATTCCATGAAGTCCACTATATTAAGAGCAATCATTTGTGTTCATTAGATGATTGTGTAAATCTGCCAATAATTGCTTCTGCATCCAATTCATCTAAAAATTCCTTTTCAATGGATGATTCCAAATTCTCCTCAGGTAGTAAGTTTCTTAACCTTGTCTTTTATGATCTTTAACTTTGAAAACGTCCTCTCACATTAGACTTGAGTAATTGATAGTGTGCAGATGACTTTATAAAGTTGTTATTTCTTTTTATTACTAAAACAGTTGTCTATCTTTGTTATTGCATTTTTTTTATATAAGGGGCTCATTTGCCATTGGGCAAGCTGACACAATGGCCAGTTCACCACTGGTCTTTGTTTACAACAGGAACTAATATGATCATGATTGGCTTGTGGTACTGATAATGGTCACTAAAGGACTATAGTAAAATGACCATTTTAATAAATAAATGTTATATACATACATATAATAACATGAGAAAACAAACAAAACAACAAGTACTGTTGGTGAGGCAAAAAGAAAAGATAACAGGAATTGTTAATATAAAATTCTTTGTATTACTGATACAGAGGATATGAGTTAAAGGTTTCTTTGTGGGCAAGGGAAGCGACTTGGAAGAAAGGTAGAGTTGATAGGGCCAGGAGTTGGTGTGTGTGCCAGATTGGTTGACTGAAGTCACTGGTGTTGATGCTGAGAGCTTGCCTATACTGTAAAAAGCTTAACTGTTCATTGCAATTCTGTTTCAGTTGTTATGAGCAATATTCTTAAAAACAAATGTGTTGGTTCACAAACTCATTTTTTTACTTTTCATGTTTTTTCATTTGGCAGCAATGTTCATGATTGGCTCCTTTTATAGTATATTTTATATTTTTTAGGTGATTTATTTTGTGAGACAGATGTGATACTCACAGCCCCTGTGCAGGGGATAACTTTTTTATTTTTGGTTTTGTTTTCTTAGCATTCACATCTGCCTGACATGTAGTATGAATCAGAATGAGATCTAATTTGAAGCAGAGTATAACAAAAAGATAAAAGAAAAGAGTATACATTTGTGTGTAAAATCAATAAATAGTGACTTCTTCTTTTCCTCAGATATATTTGTTAACAAAAATTTATCTATGATTATCTCCATCACTGGAACTAAGTGATGTAAAAATCTTTTTCCAGTACTGTTTAGAGTCATAGCAGTAAATAAATCTATAATGAAAGCCTATTCTTTATACTTCTATGACTATTCTGAGGGACACTTTGTCTGGGAAATTCTCTTCAAACTATAAAATCCTCCCAAATTAATCTGATTTAAATCTCCTGTCATAGACAATAACATTTTTTGGAAGTCTCTCTGCAGCAACTTCCTCTACCATCATCAGAACAACAATCATTTTGATTTTAAAATAAACTACCATCACAGCCTGTAAGGTTAACGAAAGATTTGGAATTTTTATGAGATAGGCTGTTATTTGACCTCAACCAATATACATAAACATTTTTGCGTGAAGAAATGTCAATAAACCATCATAATCATTGATGTCGTCATCACCACCATCATCATCATCATCAGCAGCAGCAGCATCAAAAAGAAGTTATTTAAGGGTTACCTCCCATGGCTGTTCTGACTCCCCCTACCTTCTTCGAACAGGAACTGTAATCACGTGACTCTATACCAAACATAACGCCACCGCCATGGTGTTATGGATGGGCGCTGGTGACGTTTCCTGGTCTCACTTATGACATGAAGAACAAACTACGTTCTGCACATTGCAAACAGAGTGATGACTCAGGTTGATACATTGAGTGCACAGGTTAGATTTTCAGTTTTTATTTTTTATCTTTCAGAAACGCTAACTATTAACCGAAAATAAGTTTATTTTCCCCTAAGAATCGCTTCACTAACATAACACTTACACACACATAACATAACAACATTCGGCTGTCAACAAACATGGCGATAGTGTTCAGTTAAGTAGTAGCAGTTGTTCACCTTTTACTTTTCTTTCTTCCTTTTCTTAATTATGGAAAGAAAGAAATCACTTATTACATGACTTTTGAGCGCCGATGTCATAAAATTGAAAATTTGAGAATCCTGTACACTAGTACACAGGTTCGATCGAATGTTAACATTGTCTTATTTTCGTTTCTAATTTTTCACTATAAAAAAAAAAATCATTATTGTCGGTGGTTTGTTTATTTTATTCTTTTTTTTGTTATTTCAATTATTTATATATTGTATGAAAATTGGGTACAAAATCAGTCCTGATTTATAGTAATAAGTAATCCCATTGAAAAATGACTGCACCTCATGACCACCTTGCATTTCTTCAACTAGTTTTCTTATCTTACTCAACAGAGACATACTCACGGTTTCGATTTGCTAAATTTATTACTGATAATGCTTTTCTTTCATTATTTTTTTCCTTTGTTTAATGTCTGTTTCTTTGTATCATGTCACTTTATTTTTGTTATTTTGAACTAAACAATTTTTAAAATGATTGACCCAAATCTTAAGGAAAACTCAAAGAGCAATAATTGTAGTTCTCTAGTCTTAGATCTGCTTGTTTGTTTGTGAGGACAACTTGTAGGGCCACTTTCATACAACATTATCAAAATGTCGTTATTACGATTTGCAAATTGAAAAACAGAATATTGGTTATGATCGTATGTTGTATTACTTAAAAACAAAAAAACATTCTTTGATGTGAAATGTTGGTTTAATTGCGATAACATTGCATAACGATTTGATTTTTGTTATCGCGAGCATCCATAGAAAACGATTTTTTAACTGATTAAAGAAAATGGTACTCTAAGATTTATTTTTTTTATCTGTTGTCTAATAATACTATTAATGAATGTGTTGTATTATTTTTTAAATACATTTATTATCAGTGTTTTATATCTCGATATTTATGTTAAAAAAAAAATCTAGAGTTTATTTTAATTTTATGACCACATCGTTTTCTTTTATTTCTCCATCTCTGATCATATGATAGAAAATTTTTTTTTGTTTTTTGCAGCTTTAATTTCCGAGGTGACTTTGTCATCATCAAATAAGAATTAATAAGATTTTTTTAAAATTTGTTCATGTATTGTACAGATAGCTTGTTATCATCAATCAATACTAACTGACAAGTATAAAAAAATTATATTCTCGCACGTACAAATAATAAAAAAAATAAACCAATTTTAAATTAATTTTCTCATTTCCTTGCATAAGCCTGTTGCTTCTTCTTACTCGAAATTGATACATAGTTAAAAAATTTCGATTATTTATAAGATGTATCTATTTCAATAGTAATTATTAAATCAGTGCAAGCTTGTTTGCTTCTTAACGTGAACACTGGAGATAATTATCAATTTAGTTTGCTAAGCATACCGTTACTAAAACACTTAATTTAGTTGGCCTGAACTTTGCTAATGTTGATGTTTTAGTTATTTTAGTTAGTATTAGTCCTATCACCCTTTAAATTAACAATCCAGCCAGTGCTCTGTACCGCCATCCAACGTAGCAAAAAAAAAAAAAAAAAATATCTAGTTATCTTTGCATAAAATTAGGAAAAAATCCGATTGTAAAGCAGAAGCAGATTTATTTCAACTTTCCGTTGCACATGACCTACTACCCACCTTATTTTGTTTCGCTCTCTCGTCCAAATTACCTAAATGGTTGTATGTCGATAGTTGGGTGAAGCTTTAAAAATACTACTGACAGACCTAGATAGAACTTGTCTGTGCAGGTATTTTTAGTTAACATTGTTCATTTCAAAATTGAAAGTAAGAATCATTGTTATTTAAAAGTTAAAGTTAATTTAATTATCATTAAAATTTTGATATGAATTTTTAAATAAAAGGAAAAAAAATGTATGTGCTATAAAGACCACTTGCATGATCATTTTTTATATTAAGTTTGGTGTTATGCTCAGCAAAAAACCCATATTCAGATCTTACTGAAAAAAAAAAAAAAAAATGATACCATAGCAAGAACTACTTTTTATGATATGCTTTTATTTTTACTTACGAGGGTACTGAAAAGTCTTCAGCCCGACCCAATTCTCAATAATGAACCATATCATAATGAGGGGCTTCTTGGTCGGACCGAGAACTTTCACAGCACCCCCTCCTTGCATTAATAGACGTTAGGAAATTGAACATTAACCAACTCTCATGCTCTCGTCTCGTTACTTACGTCATTTCTTCAGTAAACCATGTTAAAAAAAGAAAAATGTTTTTTCGTTTTTTTTTTTTGTTTTTTTTTTCATCTGTGAATGGATGGTGAGTTAAAAAAAAAGAAACAAACCCAAAACAGACAAGTAAAGTAATGTTCAAAAACCTTGATTGGTGTACTGTAGTTGTAGGGTTTTTTTTGTCACATGGAATTTGACTGCTAATCAGAATTATTGGTTCTAGTAGTTAGTAGTTTGTTTTTTAACTACTTCCCCATTTTTAGGTTCATAGGGGTTTAGTAGTTCATTTTTATTTTTTATACACAGTATTTATCATGTCTAGGAAGTGAACGATTTTAAAAAAAAATATTCCTTACAACTTATATTTATTTTTTATTTATCATTTCTCTGTGAAATTCCATATTTTATGAAATAACTTTCTTTACACTTTTACAGTGCTATTTCAACAATATTTATAAACTTTTAGTTTTGTTTTTTTGATTTCATATGTAAAAGCTAGTAAACACAGATGGTGTAAGTTTAAGTTACAACTTTCATAATTTTTCTATGGTCCTCTTATCAAATAGAGTAATAAAAAAAACAATAACAAAATGCTTGTACCGCCTAAAAAAAAACAAAAAAAAAACGCATTTTAAATGTCTTCTTTGATGTTAAATTTATTTTTTTAAAAGATGTAGAAATAGCCTACGAAAGAAAGGACGTATTAATTAAGAAAAAAATTCTGTATGTAATTTTTTTTTTTTTACTCATCGACTAGACGAAAAATGTAAACAATTTTAAAATTGCTTAGAAATCCAATACTTCTATGTGCTTAAGTAAATTTAAGCATAAATTAAATTAGTTGTAAAAACAATGTTTGCTTTTTTTTTTTTTTTTTTTGTAACCACAGAATCAAAATAAACTTTATTTCCGCATTTCTGTGATGTCATATTGACAACATCAATGATTTTAAAATAATAATGTAATCCCTGACTTCAAAAGCGCGCGAAAAAAAAAGTTACAGAATATCAGCAATGCAATAATTAAGAAATTGGTATTTACAAAATTTTACATTGTTCGAACTGTTACACTCGTATTTATTGCCATATTCACGACGTTTCGGCTGTTGTACGCTCCAGCCTTCGTCAGGTGACTGCAATTTCAAACTGAACCCTTTATTTTGTCCACTGGGTTAGATTGTTCTGTGATACTATTTACCATTGCTGGGGTAAAATGGGAGGTGTTGTTAAAACAAAGTATTATGTGCTGAGAGACATGGAGACATTAAGAGTTAATACCAAAAACCCATGAGAAAATTGAAGGAGTAAATTCACATATAAACGGCTTGAATTGTATGTTGGGCAGTTTAAACGATGAAAAACTGACCCAAAACAACGGATTTAAAGTTGATTTGTGGCAGGAGGGAGGTGGATAGGCCACCCACACTCACTGAAAAGGTTGGTGAAGAGGGAATTCCTAAAGGGGATTCACTGAAATGTTCCTACTGCACAATGCCCCCATGCCAGTTTTGGGCAAATGTGCATAAATAAGAATGTGTGAAGCAAATTCATCAGACGAGAGCGAGAGATGGGCTGGAGATGAGACAAAAGAGAGGCCATGTGATTGCCTGCTGAAGAGAAGCACTCTGATTTCAGCCTTATGTGGAACTTTACCAAAACTGCAGACTAAATTTGTACCTGGTTGACTGTAGTGTCATTTGCAATTTAGATGCAGGCTGATAAGTAATTGCATGCAAACTCTGATATAAAACAATTATTGTACAGAGACTGTTATAAAACTAGTATTTACTTTTGTTCAATTTATTTGAGTGTTATTATATATATATATATATATATATATATATATATATATATATATATATATATATATATATATATATATAATTTATTTTATTTATATATATATATATTGACCAGCCCAACACGAAAATACCCCGTGACGATTCAATCTTGGCTATCTTATAATCTAAAAAATCACGTGGGTAAGGTTAGCTCTGGATTGAAGTGGTCACTGCAGTGACCAGCTGTGGTGTTGGAATCCTTGGAGAACCGACTGGGGTGTGTGCACGTTTACAGTTCTAGTTCAATGTGCCATGCCTCTTCCAGATGTCTAACTCTCAATTTGTGTGTGTGTTTACCAGTGCAGTAGCCAGTAATGAACTCGCAACTCTTTGGGTCAAGTCACTTTTATCCACTGGGCCATGTGTCCTTGAGGATATCAGTGTATGAATTTTTGGGACTTATAAAGCTCAGTAATCATTTTTTGCCAGAGCTCATATTGCAATTTTGTTGTTATTGCTTTTTTCTAGCACATATTACTGGTTTCCATATTGTATTCATTTCTATGCTTGGCTGGCTTAGGATTTTTGTGGCATAGCATATGTGCTGGTTCTTTAAGTTTTCATATTTTGCAGTAAGTCCCAAACATTCATACACTGATGTCTGCAAGGACACGTGGTCCAGTGGATAATTGTTGGTTGGTCTAGTGACTTGACCCAAAGAGTTATGACCAAAAAAAAAAAAAAAAAACGTAGAGTTTAGTTAAATGGAGATAAATAATAAATCTGGAAGAGGCATGGCATGTGAAACTAAAACAATCTACTCTGGTGGATGAAATATAGGGTTCAA